TTTACTGACAACTGCGCAGTCATGCAATGCTGTACAAAATGAATTTATGTCCTTTTTTTACACAAATGGAGCTTTCTTTTGGTAGTATTTGATCACCTGTGAGCTTTTTATTTTTCACGCTATAAACAAAAAAGACCGAAAATTTTGAAAAAACAAAATTATATTTTCTCATTTCTGTCATAAAAAATATCCAAAAAACTAAAATTTAGTTATAAATTTAGGCCAAAATATATTCTGCTACATGTTTTTGGTAAAAACAAATTCCAATAAGTGTATAATGAATGCTTTGTGTGAAAGTTATAGTATCTACAAACTATGGTATAGATAATGGAATTTACACAGCTTTTACTTTCTGACTGCCTATCACATTTCTCGAAGGTGCTAAAATACTAGGACAGTACAAACACCCCCCAAATGACCCCTTTTTGGAAAGTAGACACCCTAAGCTATATGCTGAGAGGCATATTGAGTCCATGGAAGATTTATTTTTTCCACAAGTCTTTGGAAAATTACAAAAAACATTTTATTTTTTTATTCAAAGTTGCCACTTAAATGATATATTGCTCACACAAGACATGGGTATATGTGGAATTACACACCAAAATACATTCTGCTACTTCTACCCAGGGGTGGACTGACAACTCATGGGGCCCCTGTGTCCTTGCCCAAACTCAAAAAAGCCTATGAAAAAGGTACCAGGGGCATCTCATGGGGCCCCCTACTGACCCCGGGCCCTCGGACAGTACCCGAGTTTCCAAATGGTCAGTCCGCCCCTGCTTCTACCGAGTATGGGGATGCCACATGTGTGAGACTTTTTGGGAGCCTAGCCATATACAGGAGCCTGAAATCCAATGACCACTTTGAAAGCCTGAAGGTGCTTAACTTCCTCATTTCACTTCCTCACTACCTATCACAGGTTCGGAGGCCCTGAAATGGTAGGATAGCACCACCCCCCCCCCCCCCCCCCCCCCATGACCCCTTTTTGGAAAGTAGATACCCCAAGGAATTTAAAAAGAGGCATGGGGAGTATTTTGCAGATCTAATTTTTTTCTCACAAGGTTTTGAAGTATAAAAAAAGAAAAGAAAAAATATGTTTTTGTTTTTTTCTTCATTTTCCAAAAAGTTATGGCAACAATCGAGATCTGCAAAATACTCACCATGCTTCTTATCAAATTCCTTGGGGTGTCTACTTTCCAAAAAGGGGTCATTTGGGGAGTTTGGTGCTATCCTGGCATTTCAGGGCCTTTGAAACTGTGATAGGTAGTCAGGAAGTGTAATGAGGAAATAAAGCAATTTAAAAGCCTGAAGGTGCTTATTGGATTTTGAGGTCCTGTACTTGCCTAGACTGCCAAAAAGTCTCTCACATGTGGTATCCCCATACTCGGGAGAAGTAGCAGAATGTATTTTGGGGAGTAATTCCACATATACCCAAGGCATGTGTGAGCAATAAATCATTTAAATGACAATTTTGTGTAAAAAAAAAAAAAAAATTATATATTTTTTGTCATTTTCCAAAAACTTCTATTGACTCAACATGCTTCTTAGCAATTAGTTTGGGGTGTCTACTTTCCAAAAAGGGGTCATTTTTGAGGTGGGGCATTTTATGCCCAGCATTAGAAGTTTATGCCACGCATCACTCACTCTTCTAAGCACCTGAAGACCAAGCCTTTTCTGACACTTTTTGTTCACATGAAAAAAATCAGTATTTTTTGCTAGGAAATTACTTTGAATAAAGTAATCCTAGTGAATAAAATGGTGGTTGCTGCAATTTTTTATGTTGCATAGTACTCATGCAGTGATTTTTCAAACTCAAATTTTTGAAAATTCACTTTTTTTACTTTTAATGCACAACATCACAATATATTGGCCAATTATTTGGTAGCATATAAAAGGTGATGGTATGCCGAGTAAATAGATACCAAACATGACATGCTTTAAAACTGCTCATGCCCTGTGCAATGGCAACAAACTGCATACATTTTTAATATCCATAGGCAACACTTAAAAAGCCTTTACATGATATTATTTCAAATTTACAGAGGGGGTCTTGTGCTAGAATTACTGCCCTTGATCTGACATTTGCAACAATACCTCGCATGCATGGTGTAACTGCTGTTTACATACTGTCAAAGTTTTATTTGTTTTTTTACGTTAATTTGATTCAAATTATTTTTTACACTGTCCCTTTAATTTTTTTTATCACTTTTAATGCTATCACAGGGAATGCAAAAAGCCCCCTATAACTTCAATGGGCATTGTCATAGATTCTTTTTTGAGAACTCTATCAGACTCTAGATATCTCCTCTGCCCTTACATTATCTAATCTCACCAAGATCGGTGTGATCAGATGCTTTCCCAATATACAAACAGCACTGTTTATATCCTGTGAAACTGAAGTGATGAAATGCTCGTAGCTTCTGATTTCTTAGACCCACCCACTGGCCACCCCAGGCCCACATGCTTCGGAATATATGCTCTTTCTTTAACTACGGATGAAAAATATCATCAAACAGCACTGCACACACCTACTTATGTATATTCTGAGAGCAAGACCATGTTGCTGTCAGAATAAACAGGTCAGTACTGCAGCTGAATGACGCTCCTGCAAAGAAAACAGCAATGGTTAACAATAAAACAGTAACTCAATAAAACAACTTTTTTATTGAAATATGTGCCATAAAATATTACAAAATATATATGCTGAAGCATAGGGGCCATATGCTATGTCCTTTTTTTATGCAGCCTGTGGGCTGAATGAAAAAAAGAGAAGAAATCTCTGCAAGAAAAAGTGTGTGGTATGCCCACCATTAGAATATACCTCCCTGCATCCACCCACTTCTAATGGTGGGCACTCATGAAATGTGCAAAAAATATTATAAAATATACATGCCAAAGCATAGGGGCCATCCACCCACTGGCCACCCCAGGCCCCCATGCTTCAGCATATATGCTCTTTTTTTTTAACTGCGTATGGAAAATCTCATCCAACAGTGATGCCCACACTGACTTATGTTTATTCTGAGAGTAAGTTCCTGTTGCTGTCAGAATAAACAGGTCGGTGCTCCAGCTGAATGACATTCCTGCAAAGAAAACAGCAATGGCTAACAATAACACAGTAAAATTGTAACAGTGGAACAGTAACAACAACAACAACAACAACAACAAAAAAACTATAACTATTTTTGTTTTTTAAAATTTTTATTTTTTTTGGACTTGAACTTTTTATTTTTTTAGTTTTTTTTTTTTTTTTAATAAAACAGATTGTAGGGTCTCTCAAAATGCAATAGCCAGTTTCCTGACTACCTAACATCTTTAAAAACACTGTGTAATTATGTGCCCTGAACTGTGCCGTGCTATACCCTATACTAATACTCCACTAGTGTATGGAAGCGATGGAAGCAGTCCTTGAGGCAGAGACCAGGTTGGCCAGGACAGGAGGGACAAAAAAAGCGGGTGTCGCGTCTTATTCTGTGTCTGCTACAGACACGACATCTTCTTTGAGGTGACCTTTGGGTTGGGGTACCAGAGAGGACATCTGGAAAATGCCTCTCATGCAGCTGGCTAACTGCATCTGGATTTGAGGATTGGGCCACAGCACCTTCTGGATACAAAAGGGCTGTAATGATCTCTTCCTGGAAGGATACACTTCGTCAAGTTGCTTTGTAAATGACAAAAGCGTTATATATAGCCAATTGAAATAAATAAATAGACACCTTTTTGTATCAGTGTTGAGCTTTCCGGGAAACTAGGTACAGATTCATCATTTGGTCGTTGAAGTCCACCCCTCCCATGTTAAGGTTATAGTCATGGACACAGAGGGGTTTCTCAACAACGCCAGATATCGTGTTAATTTGGACTGTCGCGACTGTGTGAATGGAAGACAGGGCAAAAACATCCTGTTTGTCCTTCCACTTCCCCGCGAGCAATTCATCATTCCTCAAGCAGGCTTTCTCCCCCTTTTTAAGTCCGGTATTTACAAGCCGTTGGGGGAAACCCCAGCGATTAGGTCGCACGCTGTCACATGAGCCAATTCCAAGATTGTAAAAATGTCTAAATAGTGGCACGCTTGTATACAAATTGTCCACGTATAAGTGGTACCCCCTACGGAACAAACAAGACACCAAGTCCCAAACTATCTTGCCACTGCTCCCCATGTAGTCTGGGCAGTCGGGGGGGGGCTCTACTTCGCTGTCTCTTCCCTCATAAACCCTAAATTTGTACATATAGCCTGTGGCCCTCTCACAGAGCTTATACAATTTAACCCCATATCTGGCACACTTGCTGGGGATGTACTGTTTGAATGCAAGGTGGCAAGTAAAATGAATGAGGGACTCATCCATGCAGATGTTTTGCTGGGGGTGTATACACATCTGCAAATTTCTCAGTGAGGTAGTTTATGAGGGGCCTAATTTTGTAGAGCTTATCATGTTCAGGGTCACCCCAAGGATGACAGAGTGTGCTATCACTGAAATGCATGAAGCGCATTATCGTCTCATATCTATGCCTGGTCATGGCAGCAGAGAACACGAGCATATAATAAATCAGGTCTGTGGACCAATACGACCACAACTCATTCTTTTTTGCAATGCCCATATTGAGGGTTAGGCCCGAAAAAAGTTTTAAATTTGGAAACCGTAATGGGTTTCCATGCGAATGGTTTGGCAAGGTTTGAATTTGGGTTAAGACGATATATTGTTAAGCATATAAAGTGCCTTGGCCCACAATCAAATTGTACAAATCTTCTGTGAAAAACAGCTCCATAAAATCAAGGAGAGTTAAATTTGCTGTTTCCACCTGAATTCCGGATTGGAAATCAGTATTACTAAATGCACGTTATAACATAGTATATATGGTTGCGAGATATTAAGGACATTTTAGACTGGGTATTATCATCTTTCACTGATTTATGGATATGTAATAATTTTTTTTGGCTATTGCTTTCTGATTTATTTATTTTCACATACAGTGTTACTTATTAGCTCATTACTAATATACTGTACTGCGTTGCACTATTTTGGATATATTTATAATTCGTACACTTGTGGGAACACAGGAGCTGTGGGCAGCACTATTGACACTAGCAGGGGCGGACTGACCATTTGGAAACTCGGGCTCTGCCCGAGGGCCCGGGGTCAGTAGGGGGCCCCATGAGATGCCCCTGGTACCTTTTTCATAGGCTTTTTTGAGTTTGGGCAAGGACACAGGGGCCCCATGATCCCCTATTGCCCGGGGGCCCCATGAGTTGTCAGTCTGCCCCTGGACACTAGTCTATCTTTTAGAATAACATTGATGGTTTGAGGTTTTATTTTAATAAACTTTTACATTGTGGAGTGGATTTATGATTACAGTAATTCAATTTTTTTACACAAGAGGATTTATTTGCTAAAGCTGGAAAGCGCAAAATCAGGTGCACTTTTGCATAGAAACCAATCAATTTCCAGGTTTAATTGCCAGAGCTTAATTGAACAAGCTGATGTTAGAAGCTTATTGGCTACCATGCAGAGGTGCACCGGATTCTGTGTGAACCAGTTTTAGTAAATCTCCCCCAAGGTGTTGATTTTTATCACATAGTTTTTTTGCACTATACTAAACCCAAATGATTGTGCTGAAGTTTTTTGGGATTTATTGTTAGTCAGGAGTATGTTTTGTACAGACTGCAAGAGTCAAGAGTGTGCAGGGGTCAGCAGTGTGTAATGCACAGAGTGCAGGGTATGGGAGTACGTAACATACAAACTGCATGAGTCAGAAGTGTGTAATGTACAGAGTGCAGAAGTCAGAAATATGCAATCCACAGAGTGCAGGGGTTAGGAATATGTAACACAAAGTACAAAGTACAGGGATTAAAACACAAAGTACAGGGTCTAAGAGTATGTAAAGCACAGTGTGCAGGATCAGAAGAATGTAATGAAATGTAGAATAACGTCATGCACAGAGTTTGGGGATTAAGAGAATGTAATGCCCAGAGTTTAACAGTATGTAATGCACGGAATTCAGGAGTCAGGAGTGCGTAACACGGAGTTCAGTGTTACGTAATGCACAGAGTTCAGGTATTAGGTGTAAATAATACACAGAGTTCATGAGTCAGGAAAACATAATAGAGATGAGGGTTTAAGAGAATGTAATACACAGAGTTCAGCAGTACATAACCCTAGTAGGCTCTGACCTATTGAACATGTTTGAGATAAATTAATATACTGATTGCGAGCCAGATACTCTCATCCAACTCTGGTACCTAACCTCACAATTGCTCTTTGTGCTGATTGGACACAAGCTCCCACAAAAATGGAAAAGACAGAGAAGGTATCCATATAAATACCCATATTATTGAAATGGGATTATCAACAAGTTTTTATCATTGTGATAGGCAGGTGTTCACAAAGGGAACTTTAAATATGCGCTTAGTGTTATTAAGATACAGTAAATAGGAGTGGGGGGAAAAGGACAGGAGCCAGATGTGCGACCTGTCAAAATCATGGAACTGACTTGTCCTCCAGTCAGTTCTTTCTGCTGCTCCACACAGCAGCCTGCACATTATGAAAACACTGTAAAATGCAGGCCATTATGTAGGTTAACTTTGCTGTGTATAGCAGAAAGCAGATAGTGTATCCTTTTTATCTTTTACATCGTATCTTTTTTCTCATTCTTTGTTTCTATTTTTTTCATTCTGTTGGAGGGATATTTCATATAATGCTTTATAATTTGCATGTATTCAAAATGAGCAAATTATTCAAAGTGTTTGAAGAAAGAAAGCACAGCACAACATTTTTTTTACTAAGCTTGCTTTTTCACATTGTAAGCCACTACTGATGTCATTATTTGTACAATCTGAAATGTTTGTATGTGTATACATGTAGAAATTCAAACTTAAAGCAATGTTCCACTCACCCTGTCAAAAAATAAAAGTTAGCAGCTACAAAAACTGTAGCTGCTGACTTTTAAAAAACAGCCACTTACCTGTCCCTCAGTCCGTGGTGTGTCCCCCCGCAGCCCGTTTCACCGACCGTCCTGTATACCAGGAGGCCGGCATCTTCAGTGTGGGACCCAGCTGTGATAGCTTGTGACTTCACAGCCGGGTACCCACTGCGCATGTGCGAGTAGCCTTCTGGGACCTGTCACGTGTCCCAAAAAGACTACAGGGAAAGAGAGAGGGAGGACATGTTCCGTTTCCGATCTCCTAGCCGATCGGACCGGAAGTGGGAGCGGGTACCCAAATTTGGGTACCAGCTCTCCCCCGCCCCCCAAAGGTGCCAATCCTTAATGGGGAGCAGTCCTTAAAGTGGAACTTCCCCTTTTGGGTGGATCTCCGCTTTAAACTCCAAACTTTTTTTATTTTTTTTAATTTAGTTTTGGGTAAAGTGTGGAAAGGTTGCAACCCCATGACAGTTTTTATTTTGCTGTTTGTGTACCATTGGGTAAATTTCCATTTATACTGCCCCTGAGGCATAACAGGAACAGGAAGTCAGATGAAATCTCCCAAATCAAGAATTCCATGAAACAAGCATCCCAATTGTAAGATTTTCCCTTACTTCTTGTACTGGGGACATTCCCCACACTTTATCTTGATTAAATTGGTCACAGCTACAAATGGAGCAACAAATCTCCCCAATGGTGACACATACAGCCAAAAAACGTGACAGGGGGTCTAACCCTTTCCCACTCTAGCCAAAACTATGAAAAAAAGATACATTTTAATAAAAACTGCTGAACAAGAAAAAATCCACTATACTTTTAAAGGCCCAAATCACAGCCAATACACATTTATACACCCTTTTTTCTGGAATTTACACATGCCATTACTCCCAGGACTTTCTTATCAGTCACTCCTGGCAGGCAGTTTGTTAACCCCTTCATGAAGGAGGGTATCCTAATGCCTGAACACAGTTTTGCAGCTTTGACTTATGTTAGTAAAACTGTACATATCATCACAACTACTTAGTGTATTTAGATGAATGTTACCTTGTTTTTTTCATGACAAATTGGGCTTTTCTTGGTGGTTAATGGTAATAAATAGCTCCTGTGGTTTTCAGTATCAAAGGATAACTGGCCCAAAATAGCAAAAAGAAATAACTTTAAAAATATTTAGCTGTATATCTCTTGCCATTACCATAGCCTACCCTCAAAGAACAACCCAAAATTAATTATCCTGCTCCTGACTATCATAATGATACCACATATGTGTATGTTATTTGTTGTTTGTACCTGTAATAGGGCCCATAAACAACGGTGCACATTTTTCTTTTTTTTTATTTTACCTAAAACACACTGAAACTAACACTAACTGACACTGGTACTAATTTTTTTTGAATCCTACCTAAAATACACTGACCATGAAATTTGACCTTGAGCATAGACTCTGACCTTGAGCGTTGACTCTGCCCTTGATCTTTGAGCCTGACCTTGACCTTAACTCTAACAGTGACCTAGGTCATACCTTGATCTATCTTTATTTTTTTTATTACTCTTTTGTTTTGTTTTTTGTTTTTGTTTTTTTTTTTTACACACTTTTCTTTGTTTAAATTTTTCTCCTCTGACAGGAAAAAAAGAATACAATGTATTTTTTTCTCCATTCAAAGGAGAAAAAAACACAGGGGAGAGCTGTACAGTGATTGATCACTGTGATAGCCAATCAAAGGACATCACTGCGATCAGGTGATCAGGAAAGGGTCAGAGCCCGGTCCCTGTGCTGGGACTTTTCTGTGCAGTCTGCTCCCAGCACACACATGTACGCATTTATGCAGCCTCATGGAAGAAGACCCACTTCAGTACGGCTGAGTATATGTGTATTAGTGTGAAGGGGTTAATGAAGCTGTGAAAATGAAAAACTTGCAAAAGAGACGGGTGTAGAAAATACACTTGCATGATGAAGGAGTCCTACATGGCCCCAAAACGTTGCAGTATTCTCCTTTGATGTGATTGCTTTGCATAAAACCTTTTGGACAGTATTTGAAGATCCATTGGGTATTGGCAATGATATATATTGATCTGTAAAGTTTACAGTGTCCAGCTGACTATTGCTGCAGCACCCGCTATTCCTTATCTTACACTAAGAATATGTGCAGTGGGAATATTGATATTGATTTATAGGTGTAGAAAATAGACACAATATTTTACTTATTGATATTTTAGAAGTTTGATTTTAATTTTTTTTAGCTTTTGGCTGCATAAAATTTCTAACCTTTCCCCTACTCAATTACAAATGGGTTTTTGTCCACGTAGAGATTTTCCACAAATTCTTAGCTTTAAGCTATGTTGTACATACCAGTAAAAAGAACCTGTCAGCATTTCTGTTGTTATAAAAAAAAAAGGGCACTTAGTGTTTACTATTGCCTTTACTAATTGTAAGAAACTCAGTTTGGGTATGATCCCGTGTGTTCATTAGCATCACTTCAATCATAAGCCCTATCTTGAAGTGCTTGGCCATAGCCTCTTTGTTCCACAGTCTTTAAGAAATCTACAATTGCCTGGCACTGTTAATCTTAATTCATTTGCAATGACCCCAAGGAAACTGATTATACGTATATGAGACTGAAAGCGTATCTGAACCGAAAAGCAAAAATGTACTATATGGGCAGCTCAGTGGCTAAATGGTTAGCACTTCCGCCTGGCAGTACTAGGGTCGTTGGTTCGAATCCCAACAATGGCACTACCTGCCTGGAGTTTGCATGTTCTCCCTGTGCCTGCATGGGTTTCCTCAGGGTACTCCGGTTTCCTCCCATACTCCAAAGACATACTGGTAGGTGAATTGGATCCTGTCTAAATTGGCCCTAGTATGTGTATGTACAGTGGGGCAAAAAAGTATTTAGTCAGCCACCAATTGTGCAAGTTCTCCCACTTAAAAAGATGAGAGAGGCCTGTAATTGGCATCATCATACGTAGACCTCAACTATGAGAGACAAAATGAGAAAAAAAATCCAGACAATCACATTGGCTGATTTGGAAAGAATTTATTTGTAAATTATGGTGGAAAATAAGTATTTGGTCAATATCAAAAGTTCATCTCAATATTTTGTTATATATCCTTTGTTGGCAATGACAGAGGTCAAACGTTTCCTGTAAGTCTTCACAAGGTTGGCACACACTGTTGCTGGTATGTTGGCCCATTCCTCCATGCAGATCTCCTCTACAGCAGTGATGTTTTGGGGCTGTCGC